CTGACCCTGTCATCTGTTTTGGGTTTTACTTTTTTGGTCTTTGTTTTTCTTATTTTTAAATGGCGTTAAGAATCATGCTTTCTACTGTAATTCGAAAAGTCTCACGCCTCCAAGCTGAGGACATTATAACTGACCCCCAAATTCAGGCAATGAAACACAGGCCCATCGAGGTGGTTCCCTGCTTTTCAAGGCCGAAAACACCTCTATCATAATTATTTCTGAAAACCATATTACAATAATAATTATTCATATTTGTGAAAAGCACTTTCTTCTTTGTAGAGACAGGTATGCTGACCTGTCTGGCACTCGACGATTTCCCAAACAAAATCATGTTCTCTCAAGATAACACTGTTCGTTTAAAAGAGGTGAATTTATTGTGTGTGAATTGTACACATACCTCAATAAAGTTGACTTTAAAAGCAAGACGGTGAAAATCACGAGTGACTTTTATTTACTTCCCCTGTGCTGTTCTACAGTTTTCCAAGTTGTCCTTAATTGAAAGAAGAAATAGAACAGTGCAGCAGATGGAGGAGGAGGCTGGACTGCAACGAGGCAGGAGACCTTCTCTCGAGGTTCTTTGGCCTTTGGTCGTCCCCCCGATCAGCCAGTACGGAGACACAGTTGAGGGTAAGGGGATGCGTCCTAACTCCTTACTGCGTGTGACCTTGGGGGGAATTTCTCCACCTCCCTAAGCCTCTATTCTCTCCCCTGTAAATAGATCTGCTGCCTGCCGTGCCTGGTTCACCAAGCTGAGGCAAGTCACATAACAGACATGTCGAGACACTGAGCTCTAATAGCTTTGCACATGTGACCAAACCTCCTCTGCTATAATCTCATCACAGTATCCCTACCCCTTCCATCTTTAAAATTACCAAATATTTCAAACACACAGAAAATAGAGAAAATATTTTAGACTTGAGAAGAAGGATCAAAGAGAACATCTATGGACCCAGCTTTGGCAGTTCTTGCCCCCTTGCCGTGTTTGCTTCAGATATTTTTTTCTAAGAAATAAAACGTTACAGATATAATTAAATCCCCGTGTACCTCTTTTTGATCTCATTCCCGTCCCTCCCTTCTAAATGTGTGTTCTTTGATTTTCCATTCCTTTTATTACTTTTTCTATCTGACTGTATCCCTAAAAATATGTATGTGGCATAGTTTTGAATGTTTAAAACAACTTTTTGTATCACACTGCACCTATTCCACAATTCGATATTGTTTTTTCCTACACAACATCTATGTTTCTTTTTACTCTCAATATATTATTATTAGTCCATTGTATGACCAGATGTTTCTTTTTACTCTCAATATATTACCATTAGTCCATTGTATGGCTAGATTACAGTGTATCTGTCTGGACAGCTGTTGGTGAACAATTAGTCAACATCTAATTTCTCACAATTACATGAAGAGTGAGTGGAGTCACTGAATTGTAGAGATGAGCATCTTCAACTTGATTAGATGTTGCCAAACTCTACTCCAAAGCAGTGGTAGCCATTTACACCTGTCCATGGTGTATGAGGGTTCCAACAGTGCCATGTCCTTGCCACCCTCGTCCCCTCTCCCCACACTGACTTCCTCCTCTTTGCCAGTCTGCTGGATGTGAGACGGTGTATCATAGCACTTTTCGTTTGCATCTCTCACATGACCAGTGAGGCTGAACCTCTTTTCATATTTTTGGCCATTTAGGTTTCCTCTTTTGTGAATTGCCTGTTGATATCTTTTACCCATTTTTTAAAACTTCAGATTGTTTTTCTTTATCTTGCTTGTTCGCACTTCCAACTGACTTCTACCAAGTCCCAAAGCAAATTCCGATTGTGGCGCTTCCCTGCTCTAGACTTCCAATGGCTCTTCTGGAACACGTACCACTCACTTGTCACCTTGCTCAGCAGCCCTGGTTTGCCTGTGGGCTGAAAATCAATGTCAGCGCATTACACTCAGCTCAGCCTTCTCTTCCAACCTCACCTTCCACTGCTTCCCTCCACATACCTGAACTCCAGGCCAATACACACAACTTGTTCTGTCCCAGGCCTCCTGCACACACCGTCCCCTCCTTGTTCCACGTTCTACCTAAATGCTACCTTTTCCATGATATTTATCTTCTCTTCTCAAAGTTACAGTTGCCTCTAAACAATCACTGGTGACACTATACACTTCTAGTGGTGTTTATAATTTCCCGTTTTGTAGTGTTTTAACGATGCCCATTTTACATACCATTTTTTCATTTACAAAAGCACCTGCTCCTTCGTTATGCTATTTTAACCTTCATTCATTGACCATTTTTAACCTCATCTGTGCAACGGCCCTGTGAGATGGAGTGGTATTATTACCCTCTTTGAACAAATGACAAACGGGGACTCACTGAAAATCCCATACTGGCTCCCAGGCAGAACTGGACATGAAGCCAGGACTCCTCCAATCCCATGTCCAGTTCACTGAGCCACTCCTGTCATATTTCTATTTGTGTCGTCACGTTTGTATCAACACTTGACTCCCCTGTGAGAATGTGGGCCCACAGCTCCCAGTTCTAGTCCCATCCAGGGGGACAATGAAGACATAATTTCTGCATACCCACTAGGTGTCAGGGGTTTTGTATACATGAACTCCAAACTTCCCAACAACTCTGTTTAGATGAGGAGACTGAGGCTGGAGAGTTGATGTGATATGCTCAGGTTTCACCGTCAGTAGTCAGTGGAGCTGGCCCATGACACCTAGAGATAAGTGCTTCCTTCCACAATCTCTACCTAAAGGCAGACCCCGCCAGCCAGAGAGATCATGCGTCAAGGCCCGGAGGTGGGGGGCCCAGGCTGGACAACTTGACGGTAGATAGGGAAGGCTAGGGGACCGGAGTAGGGAAGTGATGACCACTGGCCACAGTATGATATACACACTCCCCTGGCCTTCTGGGGGTGTCTGCAGAATATGATGGTAGCAGGTGAGAAGAAGGGATAAGGAGGGGGATGTACGGAGTGGAGTGTTGTTGGCAAGTGTACTTCCTCCTGCCCCCACCCCCGCCCGGCCCCAAGAGTCTGGATGGGGACATATCTGTCCTTTCTCTGCGGGGCAAAGGCCCTGTATGACTGGAGCCATGCCCAGTGCTATTATGTTATCCCTATGACTCTGTATGTTGTCTTTTACTGTGTGCCGTTTATTTATGTTTGTGTCTGTGGTATGACTGTCTGATATTTCTTTTTGCTGTGCTTCTGTACAATATGACTGTGTGCAATTTGTTGTTGGTGTACCTTGTTACTGTGTTGTGACTCAATACCTGTTGCTTGCCTACCTACTGTGTACGCTGTGTGTCTATGCTGTGTACACTGTGTCTGGCTCTTTCTATCTGTGTCTGTACCCTGTAATCATCTCTTTATTGTGGGTTTGTGTCGTGTGTATGGTGTGGTGTGAACTTATGTCTATGCCGTGTGTGCTGTGCCTCTCTGTGTGACGCTTGTGCTATGACTCCGAGCTGCCTGCGCTGCCAGCGCAGGGTGTCGTGAGCTTATGAATCCCGTTTCGGTCGCCCCGGGTCTGTGTCTACGCTGTGAGTCTGTGTGCGTCTGCACCTCCCTGCTGGGCCGGTGCCAGCTATGTCCGTGCCCTGTGCGCAGACTGTTTCCTCGACAAGTGTGTGCCAGCTCTGAGCGGCCTGCGCGCGGGGCGCCGGCGGTGTGTGCCCGC